TTTAGAAAGTTTCAGTCTTAAATCATATATTTTTGGTCTCATAAAATTGCTTTCAATGGTTGCACTATGGGACATGCCTCAGGTTTCATGGTATAAGACACAGCTTTAGAAAAGCCCTATTGAATTAGTTGTAACAATATCATTGAGGACATTACCACATCACTCAATGTCCCAGATATAAAGCTCTGCATCAGCTCAGCTGGTGTGGCTCGGTGGTTGAGCATCAACCCATGAACCAAGAGGTCATTGGTTCAATTCCTGATCATGGCACATGCCCGGGTTTTGGGCTTGATCCCCAGTAGGGTGCATGAATGAGGCAGCCAATTGAGGCTTCCATCTTTCCCTTCTCCCTTCCTCTCTCTCCAAAAATCAATAAAAATATATTTAAAAATATGAAGGTGATAATGCTGTATGAATGAGTCCATAAAAAAAAGTGAGTCCATAAACAAAAATGTGGAAAAAAGTAAATAATGACACAGTCAGCTTTATCTTAAGGACAGATTCTGACCCAGTGTGTGGTGGGCAATGTGACTGAGGGCAGAGAAGGCAGTCAGATTGAGAGCTGCTCTCCTTATTGACTCCCGGAGTAAACTGCAGAGGCAGGCTCTGTGAACAGCTGCTGTAATCACAGACCAAAGGACAGTACTTCAATGAGACCTAATATAGAAAACCACTGGTCGCGCACCAGTTGTACCTCCATGGCCTTTGAGCACAAATTTTAATTCAGACATCAATGTGATTTACATAAGCTGCTCTACAATCATGAGAATACAATCATGAGAAGATCAGAGGGAGATGCAGAAGTTATAGTTTATGATCCCCACGTATCTTTTGTTACTTTCTTGAAGAAATCAGAAGAGGGACGATCGTGTGTGTGTGTGTGTGTGTGTGTGTGTGTGTGTGTAGGGAGAAAGGGATCCTATCTCTGTATAAGAATTTCTTTTAAATTATGTTATAAAGATAACTCATTGTATAAACCTTAGTTCTTGAAAACCTGTCTTTTCTTTAAAAAAAAATAGAGACAGAGTCGATACCCCACACCCCACATCACTGATGCAGTTCAACCCAGAAGTAAACAGTCTGATTGCATCGCTGCTGCCATCCAGCTAGCTTCTCAACTGAGATCTGCCAAGGTGTTAATTGCAGTTGTGAATTAATCATTATTCTAACTGAGCCAGACTCTTAATTTCCTCTTGAAGCTTCTCATTATTAAGTTTTCTTGAAGTGCTTAATGTGAGGACATCACTAATGCAAATTATCATTTAGCAATACACTATAAACTTGCAGGATTGTTTTTATTATGCACTTTATAGTGTGGAATTTTATATGTGGAAAAGTCATAATCAACCACTTATTCTAAAATTCTGTTTTCATTTTTTTACTCTAGTTCATTTTTGTGAGTTCAGGATTTTTATCAGGATCCCCTTTCCCTTTTACACCCTGAAACCTGAAATGAAAGCCACAGTGGTTTCAGGCTTCAGAAAGTCGCCTATTTCAGAAAAAAATATAAATAAATATTTTGTACAAGTGCTTTTCAGAAGTAATTCTCTCCTCTGCCTTCATGTACATTAATAAAGCTATTTTAACAGTCTCATTATGGTAAAAACAATTCAGCAAAACTGTTCATTAGTCTGTCAAGAGGAGGATGTATAATTCCTCTATTTTCCAGGATTGGAACCAATATGCTTAGCAAGTACCCACTTTTTCAAAGAGGTAAAATCCAAAAAGAGTCAGAAATCTGAGCAGGATGTCAGCATCTAGCTGATTTATGAATGAGCCACCAACCTGGGATACCAGGGTCAGGGCTCAGTCTTGAAAGGCCAGGTTCCAGGCCCAGGAGGGCTTAGAGCACAAGCAGGGAATTCTAGAACCTCTGCTCGGTACACTCACACTCATAGGACTCCACGCCCGCCTATTGTACTCGCCCCAGCTGTGAATGTAAGCTTTGTGTCTTCCCTGTAAGCTCCACGGAGGTAGAGACTCAGCCCGTCATGTTCAGCTCTGTCACCCTCTGTCACATTCAGCGCTGGGTTGTGCACTGTCACCACCCCAGTCCAAGCTATTATCAGCTCTTGCTTGGATCATGGCAATAGCCTCCAGACTAGTCTCCCTACTTCTACTCTTCCCAGACTCTGCCACCTGCTCCCCATCCTCCCCTTCCTCTAGCTAATTCCTTCTCACCCTTCAGCTCTCTCCTTAACTGTCATTTTCTTGGGAAATCCTTCCTTGAAACACTGGTGTTCCTGGTATTCACACCAATAGTACCTTGTGCTTCTTTATCGTAGCACTTTTCCTAGCTTGTTATTTGTCCATTATTATCATTATTTGGTTAATGTTGGCTTCTCTAATATGACTTGTAAATCCCATGAGTACAAGGAATGCACACATTTTGCTCAGTGCCTGGAACATACTGGGAACTCTAAATATATGTTGAATTAGCTCATAAATACTTGATGAATCCTTAATTCGAAGAGAATTAAAGCTAGGAGCGGACTTAGAAGTGGAGGGCCTTGGGGTAGTGAACAGGGAAGAGAGTAGTTATCAGAGTTGGGGGAGGATGGAATTAGAGCAGCTGGACATGAAGCCACCAAGAAGTGGCCTGGAAGGGTGCAAACACCTCCTGTCTCAGCTCTGGAGGGGTCTCACTGAACTCTCCCAGCAGCCCTGATAGTACAGACTGTCAACTGAAGGTCCTTGGTATCAATTCAACAAACAGGAATCCCCAACATGGGGTGCAGTGAAGAAGGAAACATCAGTGCAAACAGCTCAGATGTGAAAAAAAGCACCGCTGTTAGGAAGCCCTGGGGCTAGGCCCCTCTCTGGCTAGACAGCTCTGCTCTGCTCTTTGCTGGTCTGCTCTGCACCAGTCTGCTCTACCCTGCACTGTGCTGCTCCAATGAGACATCTTCAGGCCGGGAAATACACTCTTCAGTCTTTAGTGGAAAGGTAAAGTGAGCTCACAGGGCTGGAGGGAGCTGATATGAAGACAGACATCCTCACCTCCGGTCCCTGATTGGTTTGTTCTCATGCAAATGAGGACTACAAATCCTCAAAGTTTGATTGGTCCAAAAGGCACTGTCCTGATTGGTCAGAATGCTCTTGTGGGTTGGAGCTGCACAGCTCCAGTTAGATGGGGAAAGCCTCAGTCCTACTGGTTGAAATAGGATTCCAGGAACTCCTTTATAAAAGGGCTGGCTCAGATGGCAGGAACGCAGTGCAGGCAGGCAGTTCAGTGCAGGCTTCTCCCTGAAGTGCAATTTGCATAAGAGGTCCCTGTATAGAAATGGCTGCTAGGCTCTGTTTTTAAAATTTGAGCCAAGTTAGCCACCAGGATCTCTTCTTAGTAGGTGTCTTCTTTTTCAGCATCCACAAGATGAATAAATTACACCTTGACCAAGATCACATAGTTGGCCAATGGAAGACCCAATATTCAAAAGAGCTCTGAGTTCAGGTGACCCCTTTTACACCAAAGAGCTACTTTTCTTTTGTGTAAGAACGAGCAGGTAGCAGATATATAATTACTAAAGTGTTTGCCTGGGAGTTCTCCTGTCTTGCTTCTGCCTGTTTCACGCCTGGTAACAGCAGCATTTGTGTTACTCATTTATTCTTCAGTCACGTCCACTTTGGGGACCAAATTATGATGGATATTACCTAGAGGTTTGTGCAGAACATCTGTATTCCAGGCTTTGCTGGTTCCTGTGGTCTCTGTCATGGCCAGAATGCTGATGGAGCTGCTCAGAGCCAGACGGAAGCTTGGTCACACTGTGGAGCTGCCAGTGGCAGACATGGCAGAACAAGATAACAAGCAAGCTGGAGTATGCATGCTCCTGTCTTGCGAAAGGCTTCGGATAGGAGCAAAGAAGCAGGCTCAGATGACATCCTTCTTGTTGTTAGACAGCATAGCATTGGTTGCCTAGCGCACATGCCCCAACGGGGGCCAGGGATTGATCCTGCAACCCAGATATGTACCCTTGACAGGAAAATTGAACCCTTGACCTGTCAGTACATGGGTGATGGTCTAACTACTGGGTACACTGGTTAGGGCTTATTTTATTTTTTAAAATTGAATTTATTGGGGTGACACTGGTTAATAAAATTATATAGATTTCAGGTATACAATTCTATAATACATCAACTATATATTGCATTGTGTGTTCAACACCCCAAGTTGATAACATTTATTACCTTTTAAAAATTTACCTAGAATTATTTCTGTTTATGCAAAAATGAGTTTCTGCACTTTTGTTCCTCTCAAACAATTCTAAAAACTTTATTTCAAATATCTTTGCTAAATTTTTCTTTTATTTATGAGGTTTTGTACTAAATGACCCACTCAGACAACTGCCTTAAATGAAAAATGTAAATGACTATAGGAAGATAAAGATAAGTTATCTCTTAATTTATAGCCTGTAGAATATTCTTCATGTGTCCTTGGTAGGCTTTTTGTTATTTGTTAATCCTCACCTAAGGATATTTTTTCCATTGAATCTTAGAGAGAGTGGAAGGGAGGGGGAGAGACAGAGAGAAACAATGATGTGAAAGAGACTCATGGATTGGTTGCCTCCTGAACGTGCCCTGACTGGGGCCGGGGATCGAGCCTGCCACTGCAGTACATGCCCTTGACCATAATGGAACCAGAGGCCCTTCAGTCTGTGGGCTGTTGCTCTAGAAAACTGGCTAGGGCTTTGATATTCTTTAGTGACTTTTGTCTTTATATCTATGTAGGCAACATCTGAAATGATATGTGAATGTGTTTAGAATCAACCTTTAAAATTTTGAACCATTGACTTTTATTTATTTTTAAAATATATTTTTATTGATTTCAGAGAAGAAGGGAGAGAGATAGAAACATCAATGATGAGAGAGAATCACTGATCAGCTGCTTTCTGCACACCCCTTACTGAGGATCAAGCCCTCAACCCAGGCATGTGCCCTAGACCGGAATCGAACCTGGGACCCTTCAATCCGCAGGCTGACACTCTATCCACTCAGCCAAACTAGCTAGGGCAAATCACTGACTATTTTAATTACTAAATCAATCACATATTTGAGCTATTTTAGAAATGAGGGTTATATAACAAACAAATTCCTACCTACTGTGTTTTTGGAAGCTATTACAGACTTAAAATGTTCTTTGCATAAGGCATTATATTTACCATTCATCTCGACATTTTTCCCCTTAGCTGTGCACATTCTTGAAGCATGAAATCTGCAAACATAACATCGGTTCACTGATTTGGGGTTTTATTCCTGAAATGAAAGCTTGTACTTTCTCCGTCTTTCCAATTTTTTGAACTGATAGTTGCTATTTAAATATGTGTTATAGAATCTCAGAGTACAAAGGGCCCTTTTGGAAGTTGCCTGGACAGCATACAAGCCCTTAACACCCTCCCTGCTCAGGAACTTGGCCTTGGGCATCAGTGAAAGGCTCTCAGTTCTGGGAATGGAAACTCTTTAAGCCTCTCTCTGAACTTGCTTCTTGTATTTGTCTTGCAAACCCGGACTTCTATTGTTCTCTCTCTGGTCTCCAGGATTTGAAGCTTTAGACCTCTCTTTGGCTTCCCAGCAGGCCTCTCCAAATGTGTTTCAAAGGTGGGACCCTGGCTGCACCAGACCTTCCCAGGTGGCTGTGGAGAGAGGAGTGTTGGTGACCTTGTGTAAAGATATGGTCTTGCATGGACAAGGGGGCTTAGAGCTCAGGAGTTGGGAGGACTATTTGGATACCTGTGATTTGAGGATCAGGCTCAAGAAAGGAACTTCAGAAAGTGAAGTCACTTCCTTGGTGACTGACCCCAACGGAACTTGAAACCCCTGTTACCAGGCAACCCACATTCTAGTAACAGCCTCATAGCCAGCTTGCTTGGCAAGAGACACTAGGTAGTGAAAGATGTTGCCTTGCTGTTTTCAGAATTCCCAGGGCTCTGGCTTTTGGAAACTCCAACATTAGAGCCTTCCCAGATGCTGAAGAATTGGCTGGACTCTTGTCCTCAAAATCTCTGGCCATTTTCCAGGAGGTCCCTAAAGTAACACCAGGCAACCAAGGAGTGGAACCCACAAGTTTTGTGGACAGGGACTGAACCCACAGCCCATAACCTGAGCATGTTCCCTGACTGGGTACCAAACTGAGCCACATTGGCCAGGGATTGGCCAATTTTGTGGATTTTAAATCACTATTTAATTTATTGTCTCAGCAGATACATGGGGGAAGGGAGAAGAAAATACACCAAAATTCTCCCACTGCTTAAAGTAGGATAGTGAGTTTATGGATGCGTCTTCCTTTTTCTTCTTCCTTTTATTTCTCCTTCAAATGTTTAATAATATGCTCATATTACTTTCAAAGGGAAAATGTTTTAATGATAACAAAGGTATAGCTTGCAAGGGAGGCAATCAGTCAATATTTCTCTCTCTTCATCTCCCTCTAAAATTAATAAACATATTAAAAATAAAATCTACAAAATGTTTTTATACAAATTATATATATTGTGTAATATATATCACATAAATTATATATTTTTTGGATTGAGAAAACATTCTTGAATCCTGTGACCACCTCATGCTCCATCTCCCTCTCGCCAGTTCAACACAGATTCCTATCCTAGCACTTGGTCAAGCATTGCTCTCTGGCTTGAAGCCATAAAACTCGGCTTGGTCAAGGTCATGATGACCTCCTGCCAAACTCATACTCTTCAGTCCCCATTTAACTGCTCTCTGCAGCATTTGGCACAGTTGAACACTATCCCCTACTTGAAGCCATTATCTCTTGAGTTCTGGAACACCATTTCCTACCCTATTTTTTCCTCTTTCTTGGAAAACGAGGATTTGGTGGCTGAAGAAAGATGGCAGCAGGAACCGTAGAAGCAGGTCACTTGTATAAGATTATAATGGATACTATGCAGCTATAAAACATTTATATGAGAACTCAATAGAAATGGGATAATTGCTTATATAAAGTGAAAAATGACTGGGGATGTAGGGTAATCCCATTTAAAAAAACAACTCTGAATTTAGATGTTATTATAGAGATATGTTGAGTTGTAATCTTCCAATTAAAAGTATTTTCTTGTTGATATGATTGGGAAGATTTCATAAATATGCTTTGGTTGTTATACTAATATACTTTTAAAATCAAGCACACTGTGTGGTATGGTAGACAAGTCATTTCCAACACTTTCTTTTTCTATTTGCTGTGGTGGGACTCTGGGTATGACTCAGGTGCCCAATGAACACTCGCAAAAATAGTGCACTTGAGAAATGGCCTCTGTGTTTTATAGAGAGAAATGTTAAGACAATGAGTTGCACTGGAATTCAGTAAACACTGAATCTTACAGAATGTAATTCTGTCTAAAGGCAAGCCTGGAAAGAAGTCTCAGTTCGGGAATGGCTTCTATTGCTGGCAGAACCACGAGCCCTGCAGCACTCCATTCTCACTGGGCCACCAGGGAGCAGTGCGTGTCTGCCTGGGACAATGACACTGCTGTGGCTGAAGGTACTTTTATTAGCTAACCCTTATCGGAATGTGATTTTGGACAACAGAGAATTTCTCAAAGGAATATTTACGTGCTTTTCTTCACCAATTTCACTTGGAAGCTCATGGAAATCCACTACTAGTAACACATATAGGTTGAGGCACTTGAGAGGAAAATGTCCCTTGTGACAAAAACAGATATAAAGTGCAATGCCCCACCCCTGTCTATGTCCACCTCCATCCTTTTCACTATCTCTTTGGTCATGTGTAAACCTCTGGGCAAAATAAAATTGACCCTCTGTGTAAACTATTAGAGATAACTGTCTATTATGTGACCACTTCTTTGTGATACGAATCTTTGAGTGGCAAGAGGCCCACTCATAAGACTGTGGAAATGTTGCTGAAATTTGAAGAGAAACAATGAATGTGTTGGCAGGAAATCTCAGCAGAAGTCTGTCCAAGTGGGAGGTCTTTTCAGCACAGTCAAGGGTGGGTCCATACTATCTACTCTCCCAGCGCTGAGTCTGCTTTGCCCTGGGGAACATGAATTAAGTCCTTGATATCCTCAAACAGCATCAGGGTGAGAAGAGTAAAAAAATGGTTATAATTGTGCAAGAGAGAGAAGGTTATTGTTTAATAACCAGGCATCCTGCCTACAGCAGGTCTCCACACTATACAATATTTTCATCACTGCTCAGCCATTTGTGAATCCACACCTTGGTTCTGGAATATTTCAGGCCCTAGCCCAACACCTGAGAGTGAAGACGTGGCACACACCTTATAGTGAGTCAATTGGGGACGCAGGGCCACAGGGTGGAGAATGTATATGGAATTTAGACACTCGGAGTTGTTCAGACGTGAGGTGATAAAGACCAGGCTCTTTATAAAGACTGTCCTTCCCAGTGCACCTCAGGCCAGGACAGACATGGGCCCAGGGGTTTCCCAGACTCACCACTGCTTTGCCTTCTCTTGCTTATTGTGGCCTCCCTGATTGTCCTGATCCTCCTTAGCTCTACAGGTGCACCTCTGATTCTGTGAAGAGCCCTCTGTGTCTGTCACCTCTGGTCGACCTACTGTCACCATGTTTGTGGTTTTGGTGCTGTTGTGATTGCTGAGTCACCCACAACTCCAGGAAAGACACAGGCCCTGCTCTCTGACAGTAGACACACACACACACACACACACACACACACACTTGAAGTGTTGGCTCAGACATTCACTAAAGTGGGAAGAGACAGGACAGATTCAGGGCCTTGCAAGTGCATTGGTACAGACAAGAGGCCCATCAGCAATCCCCATTTCCACTCTGCAAGCCCTGTCCTGGGATGTAATTCAGACAGGACCACCAGTTTATGTACCTGTTCTTGCTCAAGGCAGGCCCTGTCTTTATGTCCCTCTTTGTGGCACATAGAAGGGATTCTATGGGAGCTGCCCAGAAAGGACTCACAAAGGCAGCATGGTCTGAATTGGCCTGTTCATGGTCACCCAGTGCTACCTTAGGACCTCCTGGGAAATGGGCAGATATTTTGAGAGGATCCAGCCAGTCTGCAGCATCAGGGAAGGCTCTCACTCTGGGGTTTCCAAAAGCCAGGGCCTTGGGAATTCTGAAATCAGCAAAACAACATCTTTCACGATCTAGTGGCTCTTTCCAAGTGAGCTGGCTATCACTGGAATGTAGGTGCCTGGTGACAGGGGTTCCAAGTTCTGTTGGGGTCAGTTACTAAATACCAAGGGAGGGACTTCACTTCCTCAAGTTCCTTTCTTGAGTCTGATTCTCAAATCATAGGTATCCAAATAGTCCTCTCAACTCCTGACTTCTAAGCCACTTGTCCATGCAAAACCATCTCTCTACCGAGTATCACCAACACTCCTCTGTCCACAGCCACCTGGGAAGGTCTGGTGCAGCCAGGTCCAGTTTTGAAACAGACTTGTGTTCAGATTCAACCCTGAATTCTTACCTCTTTGGATTCTGGATAAGCCATTGTGTATCTCCATGGCCTGTCTGTCTCCTGTCTGCACAATGGAGATTATTCTAGATGTGTCATATGTGAAGTAATACCTATAAAATTGAAGGAGAGCTGTCACATGTATGTAGTTCTTCCAACGTTTCATTTCTTCTTCTTGTTAACTCAGGTGTATGCTCCTCTTCGTGTGTGTGTGTGTGTGTGTGTGTGTGTGTGTGTGTGTGTGTATGTTTTGAGGCCAATGGTCTGGATGCCCAAGGAAAACACCCCACCTAAGGAGGAATAGGCAATGACTTCCTCAAACATTCAGATTTCTGACTTTTAATGCCAAACCTATGGTAGGGTACAGAGCCTGAACTTGGCAGGTTGGAGCACACTCTTATCTGGAGCCTGCATGTCATATACCCTGTCCAGTCCCAAACTCTATGTGGGACTCGATTACTTAAGTATGGAATAAGGAATAAGATTCAGAACTGTGTAAGTGTGAGCTCAGCATAAAGCTGTCACGGCTGGATTTACACTGGTGAGGTGCTGGCAGGGGTCATGACATCTCCATGTCTGTACCTGGTTACAGCAGCACGGCATTATCCCGAGCCCCTGAGAAGGCCCCAGGTGCCAATGGGACTCCACTTTGAGAACACAGGGCAGGATTCATACCTGGGCTGCTCTCTGACCAGTCTGTGATTCTGGGCATGGCACGCCTGGGAAGGTCTGGTGCAGCCAAGTCCAGTTTTGAAAAAGACCTCCCTTTGAGTGCAGTGATTTAAGTGATTCTAGAGAAACAGAAAAATTACCCAATGTTATTCCTAAAATGTGGTTATAAAAAGTCAATGCTGAGTCAGTTGGTCACGCAGACCTGTTTTCTCCCTAGAACTCTCTCTCAGACCCGTCAACCCGGGAAACGAGCTCCTATGCTATGAGTTGCTGTCAGGTGAGAACCAGGCGGCCTCAATCTGAGTCAGACCAGAAGACAGAGCGAGGTCAGGTCTCCAATCCACACTGAAGCCCACTAGTTCCCTGAGTGAGCTGAGGCCCTGAGTGAAGCACAGTTGAGACCAGTGCTTCAGAAGCAGAGACACTGGCAGCAGCCTCCACTGAGCCGCGCTGGGTTTCTCGCCCAAAGAAACGGCGAGAGAATAGGTGTTTGTAGGTGAAGACACTAAGTGTGGGGTAATGTTTCCACACAGCAATAGATTGG